ATTCCCCATTGATCTACCCAAAAAAATAATAGCCTTGCATAAATCCACCTAACACCAAAAAATGGGGCCTAGGTGAGCTTATGTGTGTCAATCTAATGTATGAGTGTATCCTGTGTATATATCATATTTGAAGTATTTTTATGAACATGTCGAGGCTGCACTAGTTTTTGGACTAGGGAAAAATATACAATGAAACTATTTACCTTTGGTACAAAGTGGTCACAATTAATCGAGACAATTGGATGTGATATGGGATGGATGCATTTATTCCATTGATTAAGCTCAAATTACAAAAGTAATTTTTTGGAACTTTGTAACACACTCAAACTATAAGATTTCATATCATATGGGTGTAAGTACTTATCACCTCCTTGTATCAAACATAAATGGTCTCATTATGTACAATGTACTAGGCACTCGAGATACGTATTAGACACTTACATTCATGTTGGTGTCCGTGTAACATTTGCTTTAGTTATGCTTCATTTGCCCATTATAATGTCTATTAAGTGTCCAAGGGGTTTTGCAAAATTGTATGTTTTTGTAAAGCACTTGTTCAAGAGGGTGAAATCAAATGTTGAAGCCGAGATTGAGCACCAAATATCTCCAAAGGGATGCTGCGAGGCTGATGATTGCATAATTCGGATCTTCCAAGAACTTTTAGAGAGATTGAAACAAGCTATCAAAAAGATCTATAATTTTCACCATATAAAACATTCTCTCTAAGCTCCTTTTTATAAGGAAAGAATGAGAGTCGAACGTTTCTATTTTAAATGGGTATATAAAAAGAAAATGGTTGTAGTTTGTATAAGATTGAAGCTCTAAACAAACAAAATAAGGCGCACCTTCAAATAGTAATAAAATATTATTTCAGTGCTGAAAATCTTTGTGATGGCCTGAAAATTTATTTTCATCTCTAATTATAAAATTTAAAGTTTCAAAAATAGTATCGATCGAGTAGATCTATGAACACTTAAAAATCTTGAAACTTAACGGTCCAGGAAATACATTGCAAGATGCCCTGCTTTCAAGACTTTGTTTTCTCATGTTTTTATATCTTGAAGTCAACATGATCAATTTGAGGAATTTTGGGTATCGAAATGACCTTTACTAGTGAATTTTTAAGTTGTACCTTAATTTTATTGTTTAGGGCTTTACCCTTATATAAACTTTATCCTATGAGAATTGGCCTTCATAGAAAAATAGGAATGTGTGTATCCTCTCAACCATATGACTATTTAAATAAAAAACCGTTTAGAAAATAATTGATTATATATAATATCACACTACGAAATTTTTTTATTAAAAGGTAAGCATGTAATATCCCCCATGGGATTCTTCACATGAAAATAGGAGCGGCAATGTTAGGCCCATGGTTAAACGTGCCAACATTTCCTATTTAGCCATGAGGGTCGAGCACTACAATTTTTCATAATGTTTATTCTTTTTTTTAAAATATAACCATGAGGTTTCTATCATATTCTCACACATACATCACTCATGACAAATGTCCATAATTTATGTTGTGAGGATTTTCATGACAATGTGAATTTGTTATTTATGATAACTATCTAACTTAGACATTTTTAAGTCTTAAAATAAATACTTGTAATATAATTTCAGACCCTTTGTCAAGGAATCTACAATCATATTAGACGAGGATAAATAATTTGTACCCACCTTGTTCTTCTCACTTGTATCTAATATAATGATATTGCACATCTAGTGCCCGCCTTTACAACTATTTGCTCCACTTTGTATTAGTTTAATTGTCGCCATACAGGGCCTAAGGTGACTCATAACCAGCGTCCACATAATAAAAACTTAGGTATATATTCGTCATTAGCCTAGCTCCATAGGTCTCCTCAATATACTCCACATTTCTGATTTGAAAATTTTGTGTTTTGGCATGTAAGTGATCTTAGCATGGCAACCCATTAAATAGGTTACATTAATACGACATTGCCATTGTCTTTTGTATGAGGGAAAAGTTTATATGGAGCCGAGGTTCTAAACAATCAAATTAGACCCTACCTCAAAAATTTCACTAGAAGAGGTTGCTTTGATGCCCAAATATCCTCAACTTGATCATCTCGACATCAAGATGTACGGACATGAGAAAAAAATGGATTTCAAGTTTTGGAAATAATATATTTTGTAGCGCATTTTTGGACCATCAATTTTCAAGATTTTCATAGATCTCTTGATCTATACTATTTTTGAAGCTTTAAACTTTATAAATAAAGATGAGAATATATTTTAAGGTTATAAAAAAGATTTTCACTATTGAAATCACATTTCTCAACATTATTTGAAGGTAGGCTCTAATTTGATTGTTGGAGCCTAGGCTCTATACAAACCGTACCCTTTGTATAAAAATATGCTTATGAGCTTGTTTTGATATACTTGTTATCACATGTAATCTATAATTTTAATAAAATTAATCCTGATAGCCAATTATCTATCGTTTGACAATGTCAATCATAATGTCATATGAGATAACTTATAGGCAATTTTACATTGAAGTTTATTGGTTAGAAAGGTGATTTTTATATTGAAAGTGATTTGGTAATAATCATATGCTCTTAAGAAAAAATAACAAAAAATAGCTGAAAGTATCAAAAAACGGTAAATAAATACTATTATGCATAATGCAAGAAATATATCAAACAAACTAATACAATTAATGGGATTGTCAATAAAAAGACCATTTATCTGTGATACATGGAGGTCACAATTATTCTCACTCACTAGATGTTAAATTGGATGGCTTAGGTTGAGTCACGAAGTCTAAGAAATTTTTTTTTGGAACTTTGTGTCTACTCAATGACACTCTTACGAACACCCATTTTAAAATTTAAATAACAAGAATGACTGCGACCTCCATGTACAAAAGATAAATGGTCTCTTTGTAGACAATCTCTTTAATAATGTCTTATAGAGTATATTAATGAGATAAAATAACCAATCATGCCCATGGTCATACGATAAAAATTGATTATATTGATCTCTTATAAGTACCAAATAAGCAAAGTCATCTTTCAAAGAAACTAAATCAACTAAAAGGTGGTGAACTTTTATCCTGTTTATAAATTGTTTGGGTTTATTAGTGTTGAGGAAACCTTATCAATTCTTGCTAAACTATACGAGATTGTTTACAAAGATGCCATTTATCTTTTGTACATGAAGGTCATTATCATTCTTGTTCTTTAAATTTCAAAAAAGGTGGTCGTAAGAGTATCATTGAATAGCCACAAAGTTCAAAAAAAAAAAAATTTTGGACTTCGTTACTCACCTCAAACCATCCAATTTGAAATCCAATATTTGAGAATGATTGTGACCTCCATATATAAAAGATAAATGACCTATTTATAAACAGTCCCAAACTACATATCGCATATTGAATCGTCCACGCTAGAGATCTAAGTTCCCTAGCTTTTTCTTTTTTTCTTTTTTTTTCCAATTAAGTTCCCTAGCTTCTTTCAACCCATATAATGCAATTGAGATCGTCAGGGTCATCCTCATCTTTGTTACAATGAATAATCAATCATAATAAGATAAATATTAGATGATATTTTTATGACAATCGTGTTAGCTTATAATATATTACTTGAGACTTTTACTATGATCCTCGTGGGCATACTGAACATATGCTCGCGCGGTTTTCAACCACAAAATCAGCTAACCATGTACCTCTCATGGACTATAGTAGGTTATTCTTCGCAGGAGCATGTTTTGAATATGCTTATAGTAAAGGTTCTCTTTTTGGTTTCATGCAAAAGAGCGCGTATGCTATGCTCCTGCGGTAGCTTATAATGTATATCTACTCCTCGGTCAGAAGACTTACTTGAGGGATTTCTTCAATTTGAAAATTTGAATGCATAACGGAAAATTGTTGTATAGTCAGCAAGAGCAAGAGCTCACTTACTCACAAACGTCCGAGCAAAGTGTACTGCCTATAAACAACATGTGAGCCAAAAAAAAATACCAAACAGTTATATTTTTAACTTTAAAATTTTATTTTTTCCTTTCATATTCATGATCTTGGCCTGGATGATAAATCGATAAAAAAAATTAGATAAAAAATCTATCATTAAAATGGATTTTTAGAGAGAGGCCACATTTGTACATTTGAGTTGGCTGACTCATAGAATCCCCATCCATACATAATTTGTACTTGGTAGCATGTTTTGAAAATATAGATATGGGCAATGATTTCATGCAACCGTTGTATAGTAATATGATGCAACAACCTTAAAAAACTATCGTATGGCCATTTGTTTGATCCAAATTTGAAACATACACTCTTCATTCTAATGAACAATAAAAAAAAAGAAATAAATTGAAAACACAATTTAGAAAGTATTTTTTTAGCCCAATTAATATAGGCCATTTCATTTTGATGATATGCTTAGATCTAGGCCTTAGAAGGATGTTTTTTATCTCCAATTTTTTTGGATGGCTTTAATATCATTAGATGAACAATGTTAAAGAAGAAAAAAATGATTTTGAGTTTATAAAGGATAAGATATTGAATTTCACAAAACGAATGGCCTAGATTTGTTTTTGGAGGGGACTTATTTTGACCATATTTAGGGTTCAAATTGAAATTTGTTTTTGGGAGGATTGATTATTGAGATGAAGAGAATGTGTGTGTAAAATTTGGCGTCATACAAATACCACAAATATGGTTTTCTAGAAGTGTTGTTGCATTATACTATGATACAACCGTTGCATTGGATCATTCCTCTATAGATCTACCTAGATATGATTGTACTTTTGATTTTTACTTAAGAACAAACTTGAAGGCAATGGCTGGACCCACCTTGGTCCCAAGCCCATATAAAGAAAGAGGGTTATGTTAAGTAGAGCAGCCAATGCAAAATATTATACATCTTTTCATGAATCCTAAACATATGAGCAGAATGATAGAACAATATTCATGTAACATATCCCAAATAATTAGGATAGGGCTCGGATGATGATGATGAAAAACATACTTGAGTGGAATAAACACCAACTTTATTACATGTACAAATCTAGACATTATCATAAAAATTACAAAAAAATAAATATAAATTCTTATCATCCCACCATTTCTAAAAAAAGTGGTAAATAAGCAATCAATCAATATGGGGGGCACTTTGTTGGAAGCCCACAACTTGATGAGTTGCCATGTACAACAAAGTGACAAACAAATGTAATCCCTCTCTATGTCTCTCTACCACTTTTCACCAATGCGCTCACCTTATTAGAATCTCTTAGCAGGTCCCCTCTACCTTATTAGAAGTTGCTATATACACCAAAGAATTGCATCTCTATAGTTCTATACTTCTCAAACCCTCAATGAATCAATACCCCAAGACCTTGGGTGCAAACCTCAACAGTCTATCCAAAGCATTAGGCAAAAACTTCCTTGCAAAAAGGAAACAAATGTCAGTGGAACCACCATTATACCCACACCTCTTCCCTTCTCCACTCCTCATCTTATTCAACACCTCAATTGTTACCTCTCTCCTACCAAACCTCATAGGATGGGGCCCTCCCCTGGACCAATCCACCCAAGTCAAGCTCCTATTTGCACTCCTGCCCCCAAACTTAAGGGCCACCAATGTAGATAAATAGTGCTCATCCACATAGCATGTGGGCTTACAATACTTGGCAAAAAGCCCATAATAGTTGGACTCAGCCACTATGTCTTGAGCCATGGCTCGGTCTAGCTCGAACCATTGTGAGCCCTTACGCCATGAAGACAGCTTGACGTGGGGGCGCATTCGGCGAGGGTATCGGCCCCGCCCATTGGCCCCAGGATCATCGAAAGAGTGGACATAGGAGTGGCGAGAGTTGGTGAGGTAGGAATAGACAGTGGTGAAGTTGAAGAGGGGGATGCATGCTTCCGAGAGCAGCACGAACCGCTCGTTGGAGACGTCGAGGAGTGCATTGGCGAGGAGGCGCCGCTCCGAATCCAGCATGCTCAGTCGGCCCCATTGCACGGGCTGCATCCATATGCAATTTTAGACACAGTCACAGAGTAGTGTTCTCTAAAGCAATCTTTGTTTTTGCAAATATTTCTTTTTTTGATAGCTCAACATGGAATTTGAACCAGAAACATGGTGGGTGCAATCATCAGCACCATAATCAATCAAGCCAGACAACAATTTGTAAATATCTTCGAAAGCATAACAACTAGAGATTGCTACTGCTTAAAAAATCCCGAGAAATTGAATAGGCTCATGACTAGGTGGTCTGGGTGGTGGGTCGCTATAACATGACGCCTTGACGTCTTGAGTTTCATTTTTAGCATAGGTAGGAGATTCTAATCCAGTTTTGGAAAATAGATCCGGAATGGTTAACCTGACATGGGGCCTGAAGCGGTTCAACAGGCTTAACCGGACAAGTCCCGGGTGGTCAAAAAAGAGTTCAAAAAATAAAAAAAATACAAAAAAATCTAATAAAATATGAAAAGTATATTTAGAATATGAAAAGTATATTTAAAACATGATTAAACAAAGCACATCCAAATGAAGTTGAAAATTAATGAAAAATTGGATTTTAAATAATCAATTTGTGCCCAAAGGTATTTTTGATTTTTTTCTAAAAAAGATGGGAAAATGTAAAAATAAGTATTAATGTCTAAATTTTTTTTCAATCTTTGCCAAAATGATGAAAAATATTAGAAATTACATTACAAACAAAATTTATTATTTTTTGAGATTTTTTATAATTAATTTTTAAATTTTTTAAATTATCCAGCCAGCTCACCAAATTCGATTGAAACCAGAACCGCCCAGTTCTGATCTAACCAGGTCTAACAAGGCAGTTAGAATTTGAACCGCTGGATTTTTCCGCTCCAACCCTATTAAACTAAGGAAAAAAAATTTAAGAAATTTCGAGACTCTACTTGGCAAGTCCACATTCTTAGATAGATAAGATAAACCTTAGCTACTAGATAATGAGAAAGGTGCTCTTTTTTAAGGTTACATTTAAATAATTTCAAAAAGACAACAGGTTAATTGATGAAGAGATCTCTGTTCCAATACACTAACTTTTAGGACCAGTTTGGGTTGGCCATTAGTGATCGCAGAGCGGCTTTATACACGGGACCCATTCCAGTGGCGTTTGCTGCTGGCCGATAGATATATCTCCACTCGTATGGAAAACACTCATTTTTTTAAGGGTGTCAATGACCCGGTCTTGGGCCGGGCCAGACCTGGCCCCAGCCCATGCCTTATCCCCATAGGGCTTGTCCAAGCCGACCCAAAAAACAATCGAAGGAAAAGAAGAAGAAAAATAAGAAAAAAAGAACACGAAGGCCAAACTGGCTAGCACTGGCCCCAACCCAGCCCTCGGTCCACGATATGTGTCCCAAGCCCTAATTTTTTAGGGCCGGGCTGGACCGGGCCTCCCAGCCCATTGCCAGCCCTACTTATATGTTGTACAGGCAAAAATATTGTTTAGCCTCCCATGCTAATATGGCGCTCTGCTTCAAAATTATTATTAACAACATTCAAACGGTCCCTTAAAACAAAATCGAAAGTAGTAATTCCTCCCCAACAATTATAATTTGGGACGCATGGCACCTTTTAAGTGTAGTATTAATTGACGTTTTGGTTCAAAGACGAGTGTCTACATAGTTTCCAAATAAGATGAAGCTCTAATTTCACAATAATAGGAAAGGTGCTCTCAATCAAGGTTAACCTATTCGAATATCTCAAAAAATACTACAGTTTATTTAATGAAAGGGACGTTCATTGTATTATAGAAAACGTTTATTTGAGATGTAAATCTTATATTATTGAAGTAAGGTGCAACTAAAAAAATCCACGAAAAGAAAGTATTCTGATGTTGGAAAATAGATATAAATACAAAAATAATTTCAAGTCTTAAAAATAATACATATTATAACAAGTTATCTATACCGTTCATCAATTTTCAATATTTTCAAGTATTTATATATCTATTTTGATATGTATATGTACCATTTTATAATTTTAAAAAATATTTTTTAAGTCATGGTGAGTTTGCTGGGGCTGGAAACCTTACTTCCACATTAAGATATGTAAACCGAACACGTGTATTGTTCTCACCCTTTGATTTTTATAATCACACACACAATATCATTTAATGTACCCTAATTTGGAGTTTTTTCTTTTTTAGAAAGTACCTTAATTTGGAATTTCGGGTAAAAAAAAAAAACCATCAATGATTAATTAATGTTTTGGATATGATTAATTAATCATTGATAACATTTTTTTTTTTTACCCGAAACTCTTAATTTGGAGTTTCGGATTAAAAAAAACACCATCACTTATTAATTAACGTTTTGGATATGATTATAAAACCCATTTATGTAAGAAGTTTCCTATTAGATGAGGTGGGTAACTTTTTTTTTTGACCATTTTACACGCAGTTATGGTGAAACGCTTGAGGGTCTATTTGATAATGGAAGTTGGAACCTTCATAGCTTTTGGAACATAGGATATATGGAACTAGCAAATACTGTATTTGATGACCTTGAATTTTAAGGAAGCCGAGAACCTGTTTAATTGAACTTGCAAATATGAAAATCTAAGATCATTAAAAAAAAAAAAAAGAGTATACAATGGGATAATTTAACTTTGGTCCAAGGTCGTCTCTATTGCTCATTACCATTGGATATGAAATTGGATGGTTGCATTTATTCTATTGACCCAGCACAAACTTCAAAAGAAATTTTTTTGAACTTTGTGACGCACCAAAAATATCAGATTTCACATTGAATGGTTATAAATAATTGTGACCTCCTTGTATCAAAGGTAAATGATCCCATTATCTACAATCCCCAGTTAAAAAAGCGATTTATAATCGTTTACTAATTTTTTTCACTGAAGCCAATATCTATCTAGCATGAACCAAACATACACTAAAACATAGTTAGACTTGACTCTAAGAGCATGCAGCATGCTGCACAGAGAGCATATATTATTTTTTGGATATCAAATTATGAGATACAACTTAGAATCGCACACATACGCGCGTGCACACACACACACACACACATATATATATATATATATATATATATATATATATATATATATATATATATATAGTAGGGAGTACGTACT